GTCGGTCGCAGGGACGTGGGGCGCGGGCAAGCGCGGGAAAATGAGCGCGCGCCGAGCCAGGCGCGGGCAGGGGCGGGCGTCTCCCCCCCCCGCACAAATGCGCTTGCGCTTCGGCAGTTGGCGCTTGCGCTTCGTCACTTGGCGCCGCGCGACGCGTCGCGCCCCGGTGTCCCAACGACACGTCCGTAGCGCCCCGTCCCCGTCCCACGCCCGTCCCCACCCCGCCCGCATTGGTGCCGGCTGCTGCTGGTCCCGCGAGGTGTGTCATACCTGTGAGCCGTTGCGTTTACAGCCGCACAGCCGCCCCGCCCCCGCTGCTCGTGCTGCCGCTTCGTACCGCACCGTGCCGCAGTGCTCGCTCCACGTTAGCTAAAACCCACATGCTCCACTTTCTCTACCACTACCAACGTAAAACGCTTGCTTCTCTGCTTGCACACCCTGTATCAACCTGTGTGCTCATTTTTTTCTCCGCTGCATCATGCCTCAGTGATAGAGCATACCCGCTGAAAACTCTCGAGTCAGGCGTTTGAATCCCATTCTGCACAATTCCTTTCGCTCGCCAGTTATACATACATCCACGTACGAGATAGAGTATGTGTATATGCATATATACCTATGTTTACACAAAAAGTCGACACCGGCTCAATTTCACATTCACACTCCTCCGAAATACGACCTACTCGCCGAGTGGTGTTGCTTTCTTGCTGCTTCTTTTGACAGCCATGTGGAACAACATCCATTTTTCTCATCCATTTATTTATTTCCTATCACTCGTGACGCTTTGCTTAGAGCCTCTCCCTATCAATATGCAACCATCAAAATGCTCGCAACCGTCAACTTTACTTATCACCAACGAAGAAAAAAGAAAAAACCACAATCCTCAGCTTCATATCGCACACCTCCCTCCCTTATTATCCAACTGAGAGTCTTCAAGACATCAACCCTCCCCTACCTACACATCCATCCTCATAGTCTTCGAAAATCACCCTTACATCAACGGCGCATTAACTTAGACACCTAAATTCCCCATCTACAGAACCTGGAGGACCGTTCTATATAAAACTCTCCCCTGCTTGTGAATCCCGCTTGCAAATCTCGACATTCGCCACAATGCCGTGCCGTGAAACAGGCAACAATCTATCTAAACTTTCCAACTACTCTTCCGTCCTCCCTCATACTTGCTATACACTATTCCCTTTCTCGTATATCTCACCGAGTGGAACCACCAAGCCACGCCCAACCTTCCAAACCCATACTCATCTTGCAACTATCCCATTGATTCAGCATCCCCACCCTGTATCTGCCAACCAGTGCATAGAGCGCCCCGCCTGCCCTTTTCAGAGTATCACGGAAACGATTAACTTTGGCACCCTCTTTCTCTCAAAAACCCAGAGTGTGTCGACGCCTCTCATTTTCTTGAAAACTAAAAAATTAACATTACTTTCACGAAAATTTCACAACTCTTTACAAGACCACAAAAACCCCTTGTTGACTTTGACCACTTCTTTCAGTCGTAACCACATTTCTAAATTTGCTTCATTACATTCCACATCATCCTATCTTTAAACGTATACAGCTCACATTTATTGCCAACATCATGCCAAGTTGTTGTCTTCATTTGTGACGCCGTCAGTCACCTCTACCACAACTAGCAGTTTGTCTTTGTCCAACACCATTTTTCATGTACGAAACCTGACTATTTTCCTCCGTAACTGTCAGGAGTCAAATATGACGTCTTGCCGTTATAACCTCATTCCACATCACCCGCTCCACTTCACTAACTTTGACCCGTGTGAAATACTCCTTCGCAACTGCCCCCAACAGAATGAAGAAGTGGCCCTTACGATGCCTTTATACTTTAACTCACAATCAACAGTAAACATCCCGCTTGCTTTACCGCTTTACGCACAATACTACACTAGTCGAAATAATCGAAAACGCATTAGCCACTAAAATGCTTGCCGCATTCCTTGCACACCGTTTAATCTATATAAGCAATGTGAAAATTTCCAAACCCCGCCACCGTCTCAATTTTCAATTGAGGAGCCTCACATTTTTTTAGGTCACTAAACCTCGTCTTGAAGCGCATGTAGACGCATCTTTGAAATCTCATGGAGGACTAATCAAGGCGGAACCGACTCACCGGCCCTGTGGAGCTTCTCTCTCCTGCATTCCGTTATGGACCCTGCCTCGGGAACGCTGTCCCTGACCAACCCACACACTTCTTCAGGAGCCGCCTCCGCTTTTGGGGACGCTCTTCGAGGGATAAGATACATTTCGGTTTGAACAAGAGTGCCCTGCCCGCAAAAAGACGGCAAGGAAGGCACTCTTTTTTGGGAGATTTTGCGTTTAGGGGGGCGATCAGGTGCATTTTGGTGGCAACAGACGGGTGAAATTGACTTTTCTGTTGTGAACAGAATCCGAATCATGAATTGTTGTTGCAAGAGCGGGTTCGTTTTGCTTTCATGGTGGCGTACAATACCCAAAATGGTACAGGGGGGGGGGAGGGGGACGCGCAATAGTGCCGCTTTTGTTACTGCCACACTTGGGTTAGTGCCGCCCAAGATTGGCAGACACGGGTTGGGTCTTGCCACGTGTCACAGACGACGTCGTCGTCACCTCCCTCTCTGGCAGGGTTGTGTGGAATCTTTGGAGAGTCTGGGTGTGGAGTACGATGTGAGCAATACTTTATCACATTTGAGGTCTGCGAAACGAGCCTTTTTGGAAGCTAGGCATGAGAGGGAGGGTCGGAAACAACAGACCTTTTTAATAATAACAGAGTTTTGGTCGAGCAATGGTGCACCCCACTGATCACTGCCGCTCGGGATTAGTGCCGTTTTTCTAGTATTCACACAGGGCGGCACTAATGCGTAGGGTCCACTTTACATAGACGTACCACTCGTAATTCGCACCGGTCTTGCTCGCAAATACTACTTCGGTACAGAACCTATACCGTACAAATTCGTGTTCAGCGACTAATTTGTCGACGTCTCCCTTTCGCCACCATAGCGAGAAACACAATGCTGTATGGAACCCTTGTCCCAAGAATACACCCTTGTCCCAAGAATACTGCCTGTTTCGCACATCAAATGACGAGCATCGTAGTCTATCAGGATCGCCTGCTGTGTCATGTGGGCTCTACGGACGCTGCACAGTACCCTTGGTACAGTACGTCTTGAATGTGAAGGTGCAGCTTTCTCTGCCTTTCTGCATTGTACGTGCAATATACCGTATCTGTTAGGACAGGCGCTACGCTTTTCGTTTGCTGAGCAAGATCGAATCGTGTGCATGTACGGTGCAGTGCCATCGCGTCATGTATGGGATGCTGAGCTGTTTCGAGCGAGTGCAACCATGACGACGGGCTATGAGCTTCATGACTACGGTTATTGGCCGTGTACATGCGGGGTTTGACGGGCAGTCCTTCAATTAGGACTGCATTCATGGTAGTCTCGCAAGCCAATCACCGCCGGCTTTTGTGAGCTGTCAGAGGATATCTGTTGAGTTGTTAGATCAAATGAGTCATCGCGTCGACCAAGCTGGCTACGGCGAGCAGGCAGACGGCTCGTGCCACCACCAGGTTAGGACGCCGAGGCCAGTCGCGTAAAATATGGCACGCGTGGAGCCCGAGACTGGCGAGGATCAAAGCACCCGTGGCGTAGACTGAGATAAACCTAAAGTTTTTGACACCAACATGTTTCTATACAGACCGTGCAGGCAGTAGAAAAGACGTCAAAGGGTGTGGCGGATTCGGAGCAGCAATGGAGAACGGGGGCGAAGGAGTCCATTCAAACAGTAAGGTCATGGGAAAAGAGCGTGATGTCGCCAGCTCATACGGTGAAAGGAAGAAGATTCGTAAAACTGGGGAGAATGAACTTGTGGTATCACGGCGGTATCACGGCGGAATTTCCAAAGAGTGATGATGGCCTTACGTCATGTGCTTTTGCCACACAGGCAGACGTGCTATGACAGCGTACAGTGCAACCAATGAGGGGTAGGACGACCATTTCCGGAATAGTATTTAAAGCGGCAACCGTAGTCGCCAACGGTTTCATGAGTCAGGTACCGTCGATGGGTAGGCCGCTCGGTTCTGGTCGCCCAACTTGCTCGTAGGAGCAAGACGAGGACGGCGCGGCGTAAGGGGAGACTAGCGGTGGATGAGAGTTGCGCGTCAAATGCGCATTTCAAATTAAAATATTCATAATTTTTCGCCCTACCGCTGCCAACCCGGACCAACTCGCGATGAGGATGATGCGCGCCCAACGCATCCTTGTCAGACCTGTGGACTCCCCCTGCCTCCCCGCTCGCTCCCCCTCCCCGCACCGCTTCGCCGTCCAGCGCACGGCACCCCTCCCGCTCCAAACCGCCGCTCCCATCCCAAGATGGACATGCACGAATCCTCTGTCGAGCGGCAGCGCAAGCGCCCGCGCACGTCGTCGGAGCCGTCGTCCCCCGCCTCGTCGTCCGACGACTACGCCTCCTGCGACGAGCAGTACGCCGTCCTGCTCGCCGAGACGGACGCCGGCCGCACCGTAGAAGAAGCGGTCGCGGCCGTCTTCGCGGCCGCCGCCGCGGATGGCGCCCCGCCGAGAGAGAGGGGCGGCATCGACATGGCCGACCCCGTCTTCGCCGCCCTGGCCGCCTCGCCAGGCTTGCGCAACGACTTGCGCACCGTCGCCCGCCTGTGCCAAGCGATTCTCACAATTGACGACGACGACCTGGAGGACTTGGTTTGCTCCCGCCCGCGCCTCGAGCTCGCCCTGTCCGGCCTCGTTGACGTCGCCAAGCTCATAGACGACGCGAGGAACATTGTCGTTCTTACGGGCGCGGGCGTTTCTGTTTCATGCGGCATTCCGGACTTTCGCTCCAAGGGCGGCTTGTATGACGCCGTGTTGGAGCGCTTCGGCTTGGAGGACCCACAGGCCATTTTTGATTTGGAGGAATTCAAGATGGACCCGACCCTGTTTTATTCCTTTGCCAAAGACGTTATGCCGAGCAACGACCTTCGTCCGTCGCCCACGCATCGTTTCATCGCCGAACTGGAAGCACGTGGAAAATTGCTCCGCAATTATTCCCAGAATATTGATGGACTCGAGCGCCGTGCGGGCGTGTCGGAGGAGCGCGTCATCCTTTGCCACGGCTCGTTTCTCACTGCTACCTGCATGCGCGCCTCGTGCCGCGCTAGCATTTGCGGCTCCGAGATTGCAGTCGAAGTCGCTGCGGGAACTGTGCCTCTCTGTCGGAAATGCGTCCATGGCAAGAAACGCTCGTCTTCTAAGAAGAAAGACGACTCAGACGACGATGACGGTATGGACGCTTGTTCCATGGGCGTCCTCAAACCCGACATTGTTTTCTTTGGCGAAAACTTGCCGAAGCGTGTTCGCGACAACCTTGAAACAGACGCCCTTAGAGCAGACCTCGTGCTTGTCCTGGGAACGAGTCTACAAGTCTCCCCTGTCGCTCGTATTCCACAATACTTTCACGACCAGGTGCCGAGAATTCTTGTCAACCGTGAGCTCGTCACATACGATTTTGATGTCGAGCTTTTAGGCAATTGCGACTCAGTCGTTGCGGAGTTGCGGAAGGCTCTCAGCTGGGATGGAAGCACTCCACAAAGAGATGACCAAGTCTCCGAGCCTGTTCGCAGAGATCTCGTGAAGGGTGCATGGGAAAGTAGCCCAGTAACGGAAACGGCCGATGGTTCTGCAGCCCTCTCTAAGACGAAACCGGACAAGTTGGAAAATACAGACAGTCATCCTGTGGCACAGTTCCGACCACCCCGGCGTTTTCTTTTCCCCGGTGCTTCGAATTGTGTACGTGAGAATAGAGGAGATTTGGAGCCCGCAAGTAACCATGTCTCGCTGAAGGTTGGACATGAAGCAGCGATGGCTACTACAGACCAAAGTGGCAACGAAATCGGCGCTAATAGGCATGGACCCCCTATTGGCGCGCACTTAGCAAGCACCCGTTCGGGCGCTATCATGAAAGAAGACCCTACTAACCGAGATGGGACGTGCATAGGGAAGGTGGCCATTGCACCGGCGGCGAGCGTAGCTGAAATGGATGGTGCAGACGGTCAAGTATGGAATAGCGGGGAGGAAGGGACTGCCGACTTGCCTCTACCGAATAGAGTTGTAATTGAGAAGGGGATTCAGGACTCTCACAATGCAGCTTCTGAACTCGCGAAATGCAATGATTCCGGAGATAGTACCGCATCAGGAACTGGTGGTTTCAGTACCGATGCCGAAACTACGTGTGCCCCAAGTAAGAAATTGAAAACTAGTAACACAGGATATGGCGAAAACGCATAATGATGCTGAAGGCAAATAGGAACAAGGAAGGAAGCTCTTTGATTTGATATTTTTCACGATTAACTATATTGTTTTATGTTTACCACTTTTGTTTAACTGTCATGAATCGTGTTCTCAAAGAGGTGTCTCGTATGCTGAACGTTGAAGATACAGTAGATGGACTAGGCGCTTTGGTGTGCACGTTTGAGTTCGTCAGTTTTGTTGTGTGAATAGTCACTGGTAAATGAAGTGTCGTGAGGACTCCTACTCGGTCTCATTGATTCATGCAGGTCCGTACGTGGTCCGTATGTATCAGTTTCAGAGTTCAATCTCTTTGATTCAGGGGCATGGAGGCTTTCTACTGTCTATGTGCGATAAATGTAGCTCATGCGCGTGCATGCGCGATTTGGCAACATGTGAGTCTCAAGACAGAAGTTCGGTACAGGAGTGGTATTTTCTTTAGATAGTGTGGAGTAGGTGAGGTTGTCTTCACGGAGAGTAGAGTACAGTGGTGCTGGAAAAACAACCTGGAGACAATGTAATGTACTGTTCGGCAAGGGTAATGCACCTCTGATCCAATACGACAGACTGTTCCTCAGGAGAGGGTAGCCCCTCTTGCCTGAAGCAAAGCGTTCAACTTCCATATTGCCTGGGAGCCAGCACGCTTCTGCTTGAAACAGGGGGGAATCAAGATTGCACTCGAACCCAAAAACGGTATCGAGACCTGCTAAATGGACGATCCAGCAATCGTGGTGCCGCTAACTCCACCCTTAGCCTCACCTCGGCCTTCCTTCTCCGTTACGCATGGCTACAGTATTCTTTATCATGAACAAACCCGGCCGCATTTAGATTTGTCTTCCCGCCCCCAAAGGACCGGCCAGACTCTTCGACCCTCTCCAGTCTCATCGCTGACTCTCGAGGCACAAGCGTATGGGGTCATATATTTAAGTCTTCCATATTTTCTTCTCCAGCTGTGGATGACTCCAGGTTTGCTCCATAGCCACGACACGTAGCCCCCACATAGGAGCTCGTTTCTCCGCTTCAATTAGGACAGCCAATCCTCGTCACTGCCTCTGAACAGCCCCCAGTCTTTGCTGTCTTCGTGACGACTATATGATCTTGCGTGCTAACGAACCGGCCCGGCCTCCGATGGATCTCATGCCTCCCGCAGTTTCCCTTTCGACGGTCGTTGCCGCGCGCACAACCGTGGCTTCAGCGGCGAAGTGGGCCCGCTGCTCAGGGAAATATCTGGAGCCAGGGTCATGTTCTGAGATGGTGAGAAAGAGGAGTACGTTGAAGTGGAGCAGGAGGGAGAAGGAACTGGGGAGCCCGGTTTCACAAGAGGCAAACAGAAATTTCCAGTGAGCGGAGAACAAGACCTTTGATCCGATTCAGGGCGAGGCATCTTCAGCTGGGAAGCGGTCCCGCGACATGCCCGCCAAACGCAAGAAGTCTGTCGGACAGCAGTCATTGAAGATGATGCCGTGAATAGTTGAGGCATGTACTCGATTTTTGCTCTAAACGTTTGTCTACGCATGCGAAGTACATAACTAGATGCTGTCAACCAGGTAGAAGAAGCCTTTCCTCTAAGAAACGTCCACCAACGATGGGCTGACAGAAGCACTCCCATACTCTTGAAATTAACATTGGCATGATTTGACGAACTCCGACTTTGTCTTCCTCCCTAAAACCTGGCCAGGTCCTATGTTAATATCGATATTCGTGTCGTCGCCACTAACGTCGTACCTAGCCACTATTGCGCGGCACTTACGGGACATGGCAGATGTTTTTCAACGCCTTCTCCGCGCAACGGACCCCTTGAACCCTCCGACCCATAATATTTTTCCTCCACCAGGGGCCTGCTGCTTTTGTTTCCATCGAGTAAGACCCCTGTACCCTTTGGCATAACGTTCGGCCTCAAACAAATGCCACTGCCAACATAGATACATACCGTACTGGTCTTTGCTTCGGCGCCTGCATTCAAAACTTCAACGCATTTCTTTTGGAATTTGTAAGGCGACCTGGAGACGGCAACCGCTCCCAACCGACCCCAACTTTCGCCAGATTTGAGCATGCTCACGCGATCATGCCACGACTGCCGACCGCCAGCAAGCTTCGCTGACTTGTCGTTATCGCTTGCGAAGAGGGGCTGTTGGTAGAACACGTAAATCGCTGGAGCCTCTACTTTAGAGCCGATGACAGGACACGTAATCCGCTTAACGCTCCGTCTTGCCGCCACGTCTTGTGCATGAGCGCATAAAAGTTTAACGTAGTGATGCTCCCCCAGACACTTTGTCGCACCCAGATAAACCACGTTCGTGGCACCCGTCAATTGACTCACCGCCCTTCACAAGTTGCCTCTGTCGCGCCACGATGGAAAGTTGCGATGCGGACAGCATCCTGCCACACAAAGGCGTGGCCGAAGGCGGACATGGCCGACTCTTCAGTTTGTTCGTCTGGCTGTGGACATGCCTTCTCATGACGGCGGTGCTGCTGATGCACGGCACTGGGCTACGTTCGACGTCGACCGCTCGCTTCTCCTCGTTTGCGCCGCCACCTCTCACGGCAGTGACGCTTAGCTTCAACCAGACGAGGGATGACGTGATAATGGAGCACAACTGCGCGCTCCTCTCAGGGACAGCTCACGAGTACAGGATCTACACGGACGACGTGTCGCGGCGCTACTGCCGTGTATGCGACTGCCGGATGTACAAGCCGGTGGCGTGCACGTGCCCAGACCCCGGGCGCAGCGACTGCAACCTGTGCTCGAAGCTGCACTTCATGCGGGACCTATTGATGCAGGAGCGGGAGTTTGTGTTTCTAGACAGCGACGTGACAGTGCTGCATCGGGACTTTCTGGAGCGGCTGGCGATTCGTGCGCGCGGCTTCGACTTTCTGGCGTCGTACGGGTTTGCGGTGCCGTGCGCGACGAAGTTGATGAGGCCGTTCAACTCAGGGGTGTTCTTCATGCGGTGGATCGAGGGCGTCGACTACCAGAAGCTGCTGCGGCTCCCGTGGGAACTGCGGTCTAACAACGATCAGAACGCGCTGTCCGCGTTCGTGCAGCGCGAGTACCGCGAGTGGGACGTGCTCGGCATGCAGTGGCACTGCAGGTTTCTAGCGGGGGGTGAGGTGCGGATCCCTGCGGAGAGGTGCTACACGGTGCATGGGCGGGGCCCGGTGGTGAAGGAGGTGATGGAAAGGGCGAATCGGACGTGGCTAAAGGTTGGGTGATGGGGGTTAGGGGGGTTAAGTTCCTCGGTTGCACGCTTCTTGTTGAAGACGTGCGTTTGCACTCTCAACAGGGGATATCGGTTTGTAAGACCGTTCTGTCCGCCCGTGCGCCTTTCTCGTCATCGGAACTGATCAGGGGAGTGCGTCGGAACGCAAAATTCACAAGAGGCGGGGGATGGGGAATGTGATGTTGGGAAGTACCAAGGGTAGGGTTGAGATTCGGGAGGGGGCGGAGCAGGTGGGGAGCGACACGTGAGTATAAATACCAACGGCGGTTGGCCATTCTCAGCGAGTACAGTACACGTGTACACAATAGCATAGCACACGTGTACATGACTGTATAAACGTGTGTACGTGTGAAGGTGTACTAGGTACAGTATACCGGAGACAGACGGGATACCGCCCGTCTCCAGCTATATCCAATCAGCTGTTGCCTTTGCATGACAGTGTCGGGCGTGCGGGCGAGCTGCTGAATGCTGGGCGGTGTGCCGTCGCGGGTGATGTGAGCGGCAGAGGTTGGCAGGGACAGCTGGGGACAGCTGGGGCTCGCCGCAAACACGGCAACGGCGTGGGGACGCGGCCCGGCGGCGCGGTGATTGAAGGTGTATGGAACCCTTGGCCTGTGCCACTTGTCACCCCCCCGCAGGCTGCTCCGTGGCCCAGCCCCGCATCAATCCCGCGCCGCCCCTCACACCGCGCCACCCGCCGCCCGCGCCGCGCCATTGGCCGCGGCCTCCACGCCCCCCCCGCCCGCATAAACTTTCTCGTGTGAAGCCCATTGCACCCCCGCAATCTCCACGTCCCACCGTTTGCAAATCTGTATCTATAT